GCATGACTCACAATTGTACGAACTCAGGTCTGCAAGTGCCCCCCGGAATGGTGCTGTCCTATTCAAAAGGCGAATGTTTATTTTATTTGCACACACACACACACACACACACACACACATGCACAAAGCAGAGACATCTTTAGCTTTTAACGAGGCTCCAGTAATTCAATGAAAAACAGATGATGGGATAAAAATAATAATAGTCAAAACATCAGTGCTTTCTCCGTGCTGGGCACTGTTCTCGGAGCTTTCCATATACCCCAACCCTACGAGGCAGGCACTGTTACCACCTTCATTCTGCAGATGAGAAAACTATGACCAGGAACCTGGCCCGTGGCACACGGGGTTGTGCACCCGGCATCCATTTCTAACCACACGGTAAAAAAGAAACCGGATGTGACAATGGGGAGCCAGTCTGACAACAGAGGAACAACGGCATTCCCACCCAGGCTGCCTGACTTCTCACTTTCTCAATTCATTTTGCAACACAAGTGAAAGGGTCTACTACGTTCAGGCACTGCACGCCGACGAAAATACAGCAGCTAGCAGCCTGGCTTTCTGGGCAAACCATCGACTGACTCCCAGCCATGCCAGGCTTCCCTCTGAGCACAACACTTACCCATCAAGTTGTTTATTTAAGATTGTTTCCATGGGAACAGTTAGTAAATATACAAGGTGCTCCTCAAAGCACCTTAATCTGTTTAGAAATGTCTAAGAGGAAAGAAATATGTTCAGGGGACTTGCAGGTCTAACAAAAAAGAGGCTACATGCCAACCGTTTTAAGAGTTGGTTTTCTATCATCTTCATTGGTCACCAGCCGAGGCACGACATCCCGAAATATTTTAACACACACGAGACCTACGCTGGACTTGGGCCAGGCAACTCGGAGTGTCCTCTGCAGGGTTTCTGAGAATCAGTCCGGGCCCCCGAAGCAATGGCATACATACCCAAACCTCCAAACTCCACTTTTCAAAAATGAGGAGAGCAGGTCTACAGCCTTAGCTCACTCCTAAGGTTTTCTAATAACCCTTTCACGTTTTAAAAAATTCTATCCTCCAACCAACAGAGGTCTACGTTGCTGGTGCATTCCACAGGAAAGAAGTTCAAAAAGCAAACGTGTGTGTCTAGGGAATCGGTCCCTCCCGCCTCGCTGTCTTTCAGTGCCATTCTGAAAGTCAAGTCTCAGTTTCTGCTTCCCCGCCAGGAGAACGATGGCTGCAGTTCAAAGCCTTGAACTCAATGGTGAGGCTGTTTCATTTTTACGGTTTCCTGACTAGAAAGAGAGTCACACTCTATTGACTCCAGTTTTTAAAACTTTACAAACATACCATTTTACACTTTGAAGAGTGCATACTCAAGTACTCTAGTTCCAAAGTACAGGCAACTTAAAACTACACTTGAAAACACTAATTGGGGTTCAGTGGGAGAATGGAGTTCAAACAAAAGAGCTCAGGGCATCTGTTACCCCTGAACAAAACAGAAATGGACGCATGCAGAATACAGCCATTGTTAACCACCCCCCCACCCCCCACCCCGAGCACTTCTGATTAGACATCTAGGCTCGCTGCCCAAACCATGGCCAGGGACTCCAGGTACGACGGAGTTAGGCTCAGTATCCCACACTGGTTTAACACCTTTGGGGGCATTATTTGTATCTAGCTCTGTCATGTACAGTTCGGTTTTACTGGGAAATAGGTGGGTACATGTGAATGACTCCTGGGAAATACATCCCAGACACTGACCAGAAAAGAAGGCGGAGTACACATGGTTTTGTCTCCCTGGGAGTCTCCGCAGGCAAGCAAAGCGGCCAGTGGCTCGTCTTCATCGTAGAGTAGTGGTTCTCACAGTGTGGGACCAATGGCACCCACAATCAGTGTCACCGAGAACTTGGCAGAAATGCAAACCTGTGGGCTCCGCCCCAGACTTAGTGAATCAGAACTCTGGGGCGGGGCACAGCCATCTGCTCTCGAGACCTCCACGTGAATCTGACGCTTGCTCAAGTTGGAGAACTGCTGTCCAGAGAGACCAGATAAACAAGTACATTCAGCCCAGGCCAGGGTTTCTCAGCCTCGGCACTACTGACTTCTGGGGCTCGACAGCCCTTCTTTCTGTGAGGGACCATCCTGTGTGTTGCTGGATGTTGAGCAGCACCCAACTAGGTGCTGGTAGCACCCTCCCCCAGTGATGACAACCAAAACGTCTCAGGGTGTTGCCAAACGTCCCCTGGGGTGGGGGAGGGGGCAAAATCCCTCCTGCTGAGAACCGCTGGCCTAGAGTTCAGAAAAATGGACACGAAACTCAGGACAACCCTCCCATCACGCCCGTTTCCTCTCAAAATGTTCTCAGTCAGTTCTCACTGCTTTTTGCTTTATAAATGAATTAACTCCAGCTGGACCTTACTTTATTTTGTTTATTTACTTATTTTTAGAGAGAGGGGCAGGGAGAGAGGGAGAGAAACCCCTCCCTCTCAATATGTGGTTGCCTCTCATGTGGCCCCCACTGGGGGCCTGGCCCCGCAACCCAGGCATGTGCCCTGACTGGGAGTCGAACTGGCATCCCTTTGGTTCACAGCCCCACGCTCAATCCACTGAGCCACACGAGCCAGGGTTGGACCTTACTGTAAAGGTTAAAAGTTACTCTTCTGGGCATTAAAGCAGAGATTGTAGAGAAAACGTGCAAGCCAATTTTGGTTTACACCCTGGCCCTCACCTAATGACCCTCCTCCCTACCTTCCCAGCAGCTGAAAGCTGAGAGCACAGGGCCCTCACCTCCCTACACTGCCCAGCCCTTTGGAAACAGTGATTTTGGAGTCGGCTGCCTCCCTATCCCACAAGTCTGTACACAGTAAGTGTCCAATAAGTGCTTGTTTGATGAATAACAACATGCTGGTTCCGTCAGGTGGGAGGCCATAAAAACCAATGAATCAGAGGTTACATGAAGGCAGGAACTGTGGCTTTTGATCCCTGTTGTATTCCTAGGGCCAAGTACTCAATAAGCTCAGTATTCCTAAATATGTGAATGAGTGAATAAATGAACAAATGAATGACTGAAGAGTCTAACACATATTTACAACAATGTAAAAACAAACCACCAAACACACACACACACACACACACACACACAACAACAAAACCAAAACCACGAGCCCATAGCCACGCTCTCTCATTGAATCTCATACAATGTGGCACTGGCTAAAAACTTAGGCTGTCTTCCTTTCGAGGTAGTTCCATGGGCCTGAAACACAAATTAGAAGCCCAAGGTGCTGCCCCTCACCTGGTCCAGTCACCTGCCCGTGTGCCCTGCTGTGCCCCAGTGAAAACAGGAGCTGACCTAAGCCTCCCCCAGAACATTTCAGGCCCAGAGCAGCTGCGTGATCACTCCCCAGAAGACATTTATCAGCAGTGCACCTGGCCGACAATCTCAAATATTCAGCAATTTACTCAACATGCATGAGTCATAAACAAAACACTTTACCAAATAAAAACAGCTAACTTGTATGAAGGGCCCTTATCTATGTTCTTATCATGCAAACATCATTTATTCTGTCTTTTTTTTTTTTTTTTTTTACATTCCTCTTTTCTCCTTAGGATTCGAGTACTCCTTTCTCGCCTTGTAAACTGGCAGGAAGAGGCCATGGCCTGCTCACAACGAACTCACTTAAAAGCAAAATGCAGAGCCCAAATAGACACTGAGGGCTTCAGGTTTCCTCTTCCCATTTAGGGCAGGCTCCCAAAGTTCCTTACTTCCACACCATGATTACAAAAAGTTGGACCCTACGCCTCCCTCTTTGAGAGAACAGCAGTACACTCTGTCTTCCAGAAAGCCTCTCAACTTTTGGAATATCACCATTTAAGACCACTCACTGTACCAAGGAAACAGTTTCACGCAATAAACATCAGTCATTTCCTCCAAATTCCCACAGGAAAGCACTAACCCTTTAAACGTTGAGGGTTATAAAAATGCTAAAGTTTTAAGCAAGTATCTCCCCAATCAATCACATAGTCCTGGGGAGACCAGAGAGGTGGAGTCTCAACTCTTCATGGTCCCCAGTTTCCTTTTGGTTAGAATGACAAAATCGGGTGGTATTAGTGTTTCCCAAAGTACGGTGGGCATTCAATGCAAGTCGTCCCAATACAAAAAAGAGTTGATATTAGGTGCACACAGATGAACATCTTTTAGCTATTAGTCTAATTCTTTATGGAAGTGATACTGGTTTTCCATTATGGTAGTAATGTAAAATGTCCTTGAAAATAAAAGCATCTAAGGCTTTAAAAACAAAAATGAGTCGCTTTTAGGAAAAACAACAACTAGTAAATGAGAGTTTAGGTGGTTCTAGCAGTTGTGCAGAATAAATGATCTTGGGACCTTGGTGTTGCGCTAAAGAGATGTCTAAAGCCCAGAGTGAAGCAGAAGCAAGAGAGTGAAAGCCCTGGAGGTTTGCTGCTATCAGGGAATCCCGGAAACCAGGACCGCGGTAGCCGGCCGCCCGACCTCCGGGCTCCCTGGAAGGAGGCTCGGAACTGAACAGCTCGGGATGAAATCCCACAAAGGAGAGGCGGGGACTGGGGTCCCGGGATGGAAGGGACGGGGGACCCGCTGGAGAGGCGATAGGGGTCCCAGACTAGAGAGGCGCGGCGGGAACGCTAGTCTCAGGCTGGAGGGGTGTATTGGGACGGGGATCCCCAGCTAGAAGGGCGCAGTGGCACCCGGGAACTGAGGTCCCTCGGCTGGAGGGAGTCAGGGGTCCCCGAGGGGCGTGGCAGGGCCAGACGTCCCGGACCGGAATCGAAACTGGAGGGCTTTGCGCGGGGGGGGGGGGGAACCGGGAGTTCCAGCGTACAGAGGGGCGCCACGGGCCGCGCGTCCTAGGAACCGGGAACGCCCCCAAGCGGAGAGGGACGGGGCGGCGAGACCCACAGCCCCTACACCCCGCCGTCGCCTGCGGGAGGACCGGCCGCCCCCGTCTCTCCTCGGCCCCGCGCCGGACCCGTCGACCAGACCTGTCTTCGCTGGCGGTGATCACGCCGTCCTCCTTCGGGATGAGCAGCGCGGCCGTGACGGTGTCCTGGTGCCCCTCGATCTTGCTCAGCAGCACCGGGCGGCTACTCTGCGGCCTGGAGTGGATCTCGGCCGCCATGTTCGCGCGGCGGCAGCCTCCCGGGGCTGGCGGCCCATCAGCTGACCGCGGGGCGGGCGGGGCGGGCGAGAGCGCCGGTTTGCCAGGGCTCCCGGGCCGCGTGGGCGCCGCGCTGCCGTAAACTCCCGAGTGCTGTGCCTCAGGCACCGTATTGCCGCGGGGAGAAGCGCAGCTAAATTCGCAAAGCGGGGCCAGAGCCGCAGAGGACGTCTGCCCGGAAGTAGGGAAAGTTATAAAGGTTGAAAATGTGAAGGAAGAAAAAGACCGGCCTAAGGAAAAGACTTTGAAGAGTTTATTAGTTGATTTGAGCCTAACTGACGACAGTTTCCAGAAAGCAAAATCTGAAAAGACCGAGAAAATGCTCCTGAGAATGTCAGTTTCGCATCTTATTTTATACATTAGAATAAAAGAAGGAGACATAAAGAGGGCTACAAGAAATCCACTGGTGGTAGATTAAGAGGGCAGGAGAAAGCAAAGTGGGCAAATCTCTGCGATTAGATAAAAAGTAAAACAAGTAAAACGGAGAAACCATACATCTTTTACATTGGTGGGTACAGCATAGTTAATTAATAACACATAGAGATAGTATTGGGGTACAAGATAACAATGAGGGGTTCTGTCGTCTCACGCTCTGAGGGGTCTGGAAAAGATTACTCTGGTCTTTCAAAGGTGTGTTATTTTAGATGCACAAAGACGACAGACAGGCTTGAGGTAAAGACTGACCTTTGTCAAGGAAGCTACAGGCCTAGCATGTGACTGCCCACCATGAATTGCTTTCAGTTAAGAACGTTTATGTTCAGACCATCCTATGCTATGGGTTACTTTGGGTCTTTTGGGTTTGTAAAGCCACCATGCAGGCCTCCCCTGAGCTTGTCAGGTTTGGTGTGTGACCTCTTTTTTGTCCACAAAAAGTCAAGTCCTTTACCCCAGAATGGATTGAGCAGTTGGCAGGGGAGAGAAACTGTCCTCGGAACCAGAACTTCAGAAAATAATAATATTACATTGTACTCATTCTAAAAAGCCATTCTTTGGAAGACACCTTCACTTCAGATGTCTGTGTGAAAAAATAGAGTGCAGCTGAGAGTCTTTGAAAGACAGTAGGTGACTCTCACTGAGCGGCAACTACACACTAAACACTATCCCAATTTCCTTACATGGATTCTCTCCTTTATTACTGATAACGTTAAGAAATGGAGAGAGAACTGCTCCTGCATTCTCACTTTAGAGATAAGAAGACTGAACCAGGGAAAAGTGGAATCACTCCCTTAAGGTCATGTAGCTATGGGAAAGAGAAAGGGAGCCTTGACCTCCGGGAGCTGGCCTGGTACTAGCAACCAGGCTTCCATGTTGCTAGGAGCTGGCGAGGGGCTCACAGCTTATTCCTGCAGAACATAAACGTCAGACAAGGTGACTTCATACGCATATTTAAACACAGTGAGACTATGAACATTGCCCAAACCACAAAAATGACCAAATGTCCCCCTATTCTGGCTAATATGAGTGACTCCTGTTTCTCAATTACAGCATCAGCCTCGGCCTCTTCTTCCTACATCTAGACAAGATTTAGTAAGACATCCAAGCATAGAATTTGCCCCACTTCCTGACAGTATCGAGTCCAGAGGGAAGCCCTTCCGCCTTAAACTCTCCTAACACAAATGTAAATTTTCTAAGTCCTTTCTATCACTGACTCCCCTCCAACAGACAATCAACCCTATTTGTGAACTACAGATGTATTCCTGGTGGCTTTTTGCTGGAGAATGTCGGCAGCTAGTAAGTTAATGAGTCATGATTGGGACCCAGGGAGTCATTGGCTCCAGGGGCCTCCCTTTCCAATCCTCCTCCCCACACACTGTATTATTTTCACTCCCGCACTGCAGAATTGCACTAGAAACTGTGCTGCTCACCCGGGTATCCAGCACTTGAAGTGTATCTAGTCAAAACTGAGATGTGGTGTGAGTACAAAATACACACCCAATTTTAAAGACTTAGTACAGAACGAAAAGGATGTAAGGTATTTCATTAACAATTTTTATATTGATTGCATGTTGAAATGATACATTTTAGGTATAGTGAATTAAATTAGATATTATTAAAATTAATTTTACTTGTTTCTTATTTTACAATATGGCTAAAAATTTTAGATTATATATGTGGCTAACTTAGTATTTCTGTTGGAGAGCACTGTACTAGTACTTTCTTCTAATGAAGTTAATACCCATTCATGCACATATTCATTCATCAATTCAACAAACGTGTATTGTACACCTACTGCATGGAGTGCACTGACAAGATCAATTAGACATGGTTCTTGTAAGGCTTGTACAGTTTAATGACTAAACAGGCTATTGGACAAGTTTTTTCCCAACAACAAATGTTTATTTGTCGAGTGCCTGCTGTGAGGCCAGCACCATTCTAAAGGCAGCTGTGCTGAAGCAAGACGAAATCGCTCTATCATTTGAACTTCTATTACAGCGAAAGAACCAGATAATAAACAAAATAAGTAAGTTACATAGTATATTAACATATATTAAATGCTGTGGAGAAAATAAAGCTGGGAAGGTTGATGCGGACTCTGGGAGGTGTTGCAATTTTACATGGGATGGTGTGGTAGATCTGGAGATACTCTTCACCCATCTGACTTCATGGAAGAGGGGTGGTCAGCAGGCATTCTCCAGCTTTCATCTCTTTCAGAGTCTTCCTTAGCTGCAGAGAGCCATCATGCTCATCTAAGCCCTCCATGTGGCAGCCTGAATTCAGTAACTAAATGAGACATGAGACATAAAGGCAGGCCCATTGCAACCTGCCCAGGACACACTGATGAGCAATACTGGCTCCAGAACTCTCTCCCGGGTCGGATGAGGCTTTGCCAAGCCTGCATTGCAGCTGACTTCATCCGCCTACTCCCATTACAGCTCCCTTCACAGCTATGGATCCCTCATAAACACCCTGTGTGCCAACTTCTGTCTCAGCATCTGCTGCTTCTGGAGAATGCAACCTGAGACAGGTGGCCAGGGGAGGGGAAGGCTTCAGGAAGAAGGTGACATTTTAGCCTCCCAGGAAGAAGGAGAGGAGGGAGGAAGCTGGGTAGAAATATGGGAGAAGTGCTGGCCTGGAAAAGGAGACAGCAGGTGCCATGGCCTTGCGGTGAGGGCAGGCCTCAGGGTTTCTAGGATGAGCAAGGTAGCTAGGATGCTGGAGCAGAGTGAGTGACAAGTGCAGACAGAAATGAGGACAGACAGGTCACCAGACAGACCATGTCAGGCCTGGGGAATGGTGAGGACTTTGGTTTTTACTTTAAGTGAGGTGGAAAACCATTGGAGAGTTTGAGCAGAAGACTGGCTTAATCTGCATTTTTTAAAATTAAATTTAATTTACTTTTTGACATCAACTCATGGCCATGATTATTTCAAGAATAACCCAACCTACTGCCACCCTGATTATTCTGAGAGTCTGAGGTAGCTTATTTTTCACAAGTCAATATTTTGGCATAAATGTCTAAAAAGTAAAGACTTTTTAAAAACAAAACTAAAATACCCCCATTGTAAACCTCCAATAATTCTCTGATTTTTTTTTTTAAAAAACTTGTCAGTATTCAAATACTCCACATTTCCTTTACTTTTTTTTTTTCAGTTGTTTTGTTCCAACCAGGATCCAACACAGGAGCGCAGTCTCGGTTACTTCAAGGCACGCCGGTGCCCCCCACAAGAAGAGAGACTGCACAAAGAAGTACTTCTTTGAGGGTCTAGATGTTCAGCAGGCAGCTCAAAATTGGGAATTCAGACAAGACATCCTCTGTAAATTAATATTACATTTTTTAAAAATTATGTTAAGCTTCATAGGACAGCAATATAATAATAATGCTAAAGTGTGGAAGATAAGAAAAAGACATATATATCCACTGTTTCCATGTTGATGTATTTTTCCCTTTGCCCTCTTTTTTTTTTCCCCTATGCTTTTTAAAAAGGTTGTTTTAAACTAAAAGTTTTAAATTCAGCTAAGTCAGTAACTCTTTGTCCAGGACCCCTGAAACGAAGGTTTTTTTGGAGACAGACCAGATGAATATTTGCTCAAATGGTTGCTCCGTTTATGATCTGGAACTAAGACTAAATATATGTTGCTGAGAAGTATTTTCTTTTTTTGAACTAGTGTTTTCTTTAAACTGAACGTAAAAGAAGTTTTTTGTTTTGCTTTAATGAGAAAGGAAGGAACAATTGACAAGGAGAAGCAACGTCTTTCATAAATTTCTGGATCCAAACGCCTTTCCCTACCTACCTGCTCACCCAAGGGTGATCCTGAGCTCCGGCAAGGACCAACGCTCGCTCACGCGCGATGTCACTCAACCGCAGCCGCCCCGCCCACAGAGCGCTAGCCCCGCCCCGGCCTACCTTAGCGCTCCTATTCCGACGGGGCTGTGTTACCGCGACACTATTCCGGCGTTTTTCCTTCCTCCCTCCGTTGCCCTCTCCCCTGCAATGGCATCCGGGTTGGTCAGGCTGCTGTTGCGGGGGCCTCGCTCCCTCCCGGCACCGGCCATCCCCGCCCGAGCCCCGCCAGCTCGGGGAGTGAAAGACTTCCGCGCAGCCGTCCGCTTCCAGAAGGAGCTGGAGCGGTGGCGCCTGCTCCGGAACCCGCCGCCGCCCGTCCGCCGGTAGGAGCCGCCTCGGGAAGGGGTCAGGGTGGCGATCGAGGACCTGGGACCTCCCGCTTGGCCTCGGCCCTGCAGCGGGGAGCAGTCCTTCGTCGCTAACGGGTTCCTGGTGCGAGCCTAGGAGGTTTGCGATACAAACACCCCTGTGACGAGGACGCGTGGACTGAGCCAAAGATGCTGGAGTTGTGCCCTCCACGCGTTGGAACTCCCATTTAGAAGCCTGTCAACTGCGACAAGCGAGAAGGCGGCGCTCCCCAGGGTTGCGGTTTAGATGGAGAAAAAAATTAAGTGTATTTCACCACAAGTCCACTGTCTACAGTAAAAGGGAAACATTTTAGGTTTAGGTTTTCGCTTTAATTAATCTTGTTTCAGTAACAGAAGGTCCGGTAGAAAGAGACGCAGATCTTCATAGGACCAAATTAGATCTTCTATACACGAGATTTTGCATCTTTTTCCTCTCAGATAATGTGTCTGACGTCTCGTCGTGGCAGTACAAGTGGATGCACTTAGCTCTTTTGTGGCTACACTTACGGGCATTTGAGTTCCATATTATTGCTATTACAACTGGTGTAACAGTCAATAGCTTTGAAGTTCTTACTCCTTTGGAGATTTAGTATGAAATTTCGATAGCTACTTTAATGTTGACCTCCGCCCCCCTTAAAAAATTTAGGTAATGTAGTTTATACACCTACCAGTAGGAATATGCATACTCATATTCCTGTACTGTTTGAACACAAAGGGAAGGGAGGGAGATAGAGAGAGAGAGACATTAATGTGTGGTTGCTGGGGGCTGTGGCCTGCAACCCAGGCTTGTACCCTGACTGGGAATCGAACCTGCAACACTTTGGTTCACAGCCGGTGCTCAATCCACGGAGCTATGCCAGCTAGGGCATATTATTTCTTTTTAATTCACATTTCTCTGATTATTGTGCGGCTAGTCACTTTAGGATTTTATAGTTGGAAGAAATTTGTGGATTACATACACATTGTATTTATAATTCAATTCTTTATACTTTGCTTCCCTCTTTTATTTAAAAGTTTTATTTCAGGTTAATAATCTTTAAAAAAAACTTTCATTCTTGGGAATGATTTTGAACTACTTCTTAATTGCTAATTTAAATGGATGTTTTCAATAAAATATGTAATAAATACAATGTATTTATTGTTTATGGCTTGAACCTTTGAAATTATAATCTGTATTTCACACCTAGGTATTAAGTGTAGTTGCATGGTTAGAGTGCTTTAATGTAGCAATTGGCTGAAAGGCAAAAAAATATTCCAACAATGTATCTAAGAAAGAACAAATAATCATCTGACTTGAATTTTAACTTTTAAAAAATCAAAGCATGGCATTAACATGAAAGTTTTGTGAAATTTCCTTTATGTAATTAACAGAAGTGCATCATCAATGAAAAAAATCTTCGCACCAGAATAACATCCTGTCGTTTTCCTCACCACCTGTGTGCTGTCTTCTGTTTCCTGTTTCCAGGTCGGAGAAGCCCAACTGGGACTACCACGCTGAAATCCAAGCCTTTGGACACCGGTTACAGGAAGCCTTTTCCTTAGATCTCCTCAAAACTGCATTTGTTAACAGCTGCTATATTAAAAGTGAGGAGGCCAAGCGCCAAAAGCTGGGAATAGAGAAAGAGGCTGTTCTTCTGAATATTAAAGATAATCGAGAACTCTCTGAACAAGGGTCATCTTTTTCACAAGCTTGCCTCACCCAATTTCTGGAGGATGCATTCCCACACCTGCCCACTGAAGGCGTTCAGAGTCTGGTCGACTTTCTCACGGGCGAGGACGTCGTGTGCCACGTGGCTAGAAACCTGGCGGTGGAGCAGCTAACGCTGAGTGCGGCATTTCCAGTCCCCCCGACTGTGTTACGGCGGACTTTCTTTGCAGTCGTTGGAGCCCTGCTACAGAGCAGCGGCCCTGAGAGGACCGCGCTTTTCATCAGGGTAGGTCATTGTTCATTGCACGTACCAGGACAAATTTGAGCATTTCTTTCTGTCATTCATTTCTGTGCGATATGACTTTGGAAGGTTGTGTGTGAAATGAGAGAGACCTAAAGCTTTTTCATGGTAGCATATTAATTACTCCAGTTATGTCTCATTGAGGACCTTCTCAGGAGTGAATGTTAGATGCTGGCTTGTGAATTTGGAAGGACTGCAAGCCATGTCTTTAGTTTTACACCCCGAGGTCCCGGGATAGTGCCCCCGTAGTAGATGCTGAGCAGCTGCGGAGTGAGGGAAGGAGACGGAAGGAGTCACCGGAGGGCCCAGTGTGCTTCGGAACCGTGAGTGATAAAACCCTGGATTTCTGATTTCCGGCGACGTACATCTAGCTTCTTGGGAGCCAGTGGCTTAGCTAGTTAAAATGAGATGTAACCCATATGACTTGGCTCCCACTGTCCTCTTAGAAGTTATTAACTAAGAGAATTTCTGTCCTCTGCATTGGAGGAAAGCATGAGTTTTTGGTTACTCTTACAAAATGAGAAGTCCATACAATCACCTTAAGTCAAAAAGAAAAAAACCCCCCCAAAAACAGTCTTGATTTAGACATTTGCATGCGGGACCTTTTAAACCAGCATCCCTTGCTGTTGGAATCTATCCATTTAGTTTCGATGCCGAGTTGGATGGTTTTATAGAGAAGGGTATCTGTATTTACCAACACTCAGGCTCTGTTCGTAGGTAAAACCTGTCTTCTTTCCCCTGCTAAGGCCTGTGATGGGTCTGCCTTTGGGAAGCAGGTATGTTGACTGACCCTTCTGGAGTGGGAGCTCCGGGAAAGAGAAAGAGAACAATTTTCACTTGGCTTGATGACTGCGAGGTAGTGGAGTGCTTTCTGAGCCTGGTCGACATTGACACCAGCTCTAATGGGCCTCGTGTCCCCTGCTGGAACCTCCCAGCCGTGTTCCTTGACATAGTGTGGGCTTCTTGGTGTGTGGTTTCCTGGAAAGATTCTTTACAAATGGCAGCCTTCTGCGAGTCCCACGTCCGGTCTTCAGGGGTTTTGTACCCGAGACGTCTGCTGCAGACTTCCCTCCACTACTACAGGCGGCCTCTGCCGGCCTCTGCCGGCCTCCTGCCTTTAAGCCAGGAACGTGTGTTGGCTGGCTTAAAGGCAGGCCACCCCCTGCCCCAGGTCAGAGGCAGTGGACACTGTCAAGGCCCCTGGGCTCGAGGGGAAACAGAAGGTGTCCCCTGCTGTCCCCTGCTTTCCCCTCCCAGAATTAAATAGCTTTTTTTTAATACTTAATATTCCTTTTTTTTTTTAAGATTTTATTTATTTTTTAGAGAGAGGAAGGGAGGGAGAAAGAGAGAGGGAGAATCAATGTGTGGTTGCCCCTCACATGGCCCCCTCTGGGGACCTGGCCTGCAACCCAGGCATGTGCCCCGGCTGGGAATCGAACCTGCGATGCTTTGGTTCGCAGCCCATGCTCAATCCACTGAGCTACTCCAGCCAGGGCTAAATAGCTTTTTCTAAAGACATTCTCACAAGTCCTTCCTTGATTTCCATTTCTTTTTTTTTTTTATCGCCCTCTCTTCTTCGGAGTCTTAGAACCCTCTCAACAATTTTCTGTCACTTTCTCAAGATCTCTGTGAGGTAGTTGTGAGAGCATTCTGGAAATATTTGCTCACCCTGTTTTAGTGCCTCTTCGACAGTTCCAGGCGCAGAGCCTGTTGGATAATTCAGGGACCTGTGCCTAAGTCAGGAGCGTTTGTTTCATTTAGTTTTTTTGTTTGTTAGTTTCCCATCCCAGAATCGACAGGTTTGAATTGTCCTGTGTTATTCATGCCAGGCACTGAGCTCCCTGAGCTAAACAGGATACGATTTTTGCCTTGAGGGTCACTGGGCAGATGGAGTGGAACGTGGGAGGTTCTCATGGAGGCGCTAGGGAGTGTCGGCAACCCTAGCAGGGTTAGGGGTTAGGGTTACAGAGGTTATGCTTGCCCTGAAGGATATTCCAGGAGGAAGCCTCCAGGATGAGCTTGTGCTTGTGCTTGGGAGACTACAAGTCATGCTGTGTGGCCAGATTGTTTTAAATCTGGAAAAGGGATGGGAGACGGCCTGGACCTCTAACAGCTAGACAGAGTGTGGAAGATCTTTTCAGCTCGGTGCTCCTCAGAACACGGTTTGGCAGAGGTAGCATTAGCATCGCCGAGAACTCATTAGAGATGCAGGTTCTCAGGCACCCCCTCAGACTCCTGAATCAGAATCTCTGCGAGGCTGGCCTAGGAATCTGCTTCAGCAGCTCTCCAGGTGCTGCTTTTGCCCCCCAGATGTGAGCAGCACTGCTCTTAGCGCAGCTAAGGGGTGTGTGTTTGATGGTCTTGTGCAGGCTAATGTAGAGCCAGCTGGAGGGGTTTTAGATGGTAGATCTCCATGGTCAGATGTGCATTTTGGAGACGTTTCTTCACGCTCCCTCCCTACTGTGGGGAGATGAGATTGGGATAGTCAACAACGCCCACCTTACCGAAAGCTCTGATGATGAACTGGTAAGATCAGGAGCCAAGAGGAAAGAATAGGAGGCATAAGTAATCACCCCAGAGATCTCCTTCTATATTCCCATGGCTATCTTAGGCATTAGAATTATTTGTCCTTACCCCACAGCTGGTTATTCTACATGGGAATCCAGTGATTCATACATGGGTGAACAACTGTGTACATCCTGCAAGCATTTTGTCTCTGTACATTAAAAGATTCAAAATCTCCAGCTCAGAATGGCCTTATAAATATTTTTTATTAACAAAGCCGAGGAAGTGTTGTAATGTAAGTGACTCCATTTCATGAACTAAGAAATCTTTTTTTTATTTCTCCCATCTTCTCCCATTTACCCTTCCTGTTACATACTGTGTTTGTTAACATAGTGTATCATTGTGAAAATTAACGTTTGTTCCTATATTTCCTATTCAATATAATTTATTGCCAAAAAGAATTCTGCTTTGAAAGTTCATAATTAGTTCCTCCATTTTTTAGTTGTTTAAATTTAAAGTATATCAAGTCATAAACACTTTAAAAAGGCAGTTAGTGTGAACTGATTACCACTGGTGGGGGAGGGAGGAATCAAAGCATTTTATTGAGTGTGTTCTGGGGAGGGTCAGAGGGCTGGGGGACTGTGAGATCTCGCGTCCTTGGCCTGGCCATGATCTCCCCAGCTTTACAGCCACCAAAACCATGAAATGATCATTTCAATGACTTTTTGAAATTGTGAACTTGCACAAAGAAGTAGTGCTAACTTAGAAGACCCCAGTGCCTTTTTACAGGAGTTTCTGCCAGAAGTTATTACTGTTTATTCATTAATTAAACTCTTTTTAAAAATATCTTTCTTACTGATAAGAATATATTTCTAAATTATGAGACAGGATGTTACCTTCAACTAGGACTTTTTAAAAATATCTTTCTTACTGATAAGAATATATTTCTAAATTATGAGACAGGATGTTACCTTCAGCTAGGATTATTGTAATAAAATTTATGTGAGAAAACTATATGGGAATGTGAAGGTATCGTACCTTTTTTCTTTTACTTCCCATAAGTTGTTTTTTTTTGAGAAATCCTTTCTTGGCTTTTTTTTTTTAAGATTTTATTTATTTATTTTTAGAGAGGAAAGGGAGGGAGATAGAGAGAAACATCAATGTGCGGTTGCTGGGGGTCATGGCCTGCAACCCAGGCATGTGCCCTGACTGGGAATCGAACCTGCGACACTTTGGTTCTCAGCCCACGCTTAATCCACTGATACGCCAGCCAGGGCTACTTCCCATAAGTTTTTAATTTCTGTTGAAATTAAACCTTGAGTTCTAGTCCTTATTTTCTTTACACTAACTTAAACATATACATTGTGTTTTTATATGCAGGACTTCTTAATTACTCAGCTAACTGGAAAAGACCTCTTTGAGATCTGGAGCGTAGTCAACCCCATGGGGCTCCTGGTGGAAGAGCTGAAGAAGAGGAATGTGTCAGCTCCCGAGTCCAGACTCACCAGGCAGTCCGGGGGCACCACAGCTTTGCCCGTGTTTTTCGTTGGCTTATACTGGTTAGTAAAAGTTCAATCTTAATTTCGTAACATTGTCTGGAGACCTTAAAAAAGGATTTTTCACAATTCCTTAGTACAGCCTCTCATTGCATTAAAAGTTTTTTTAAAATCTCATTCCCGCGATTATCTGAGTACTACTTCCTTTCCTGTTGGCTATTCTTAGGGAAAGGCACGTGATCCATGGTTTGCCCAAAGTATCTTTTTTATTTCCCCTGAATTTTTTTAAATTTTCTTTTTGTTTTTTATTTTTCAATTACAGTTGACATTCAATACTATTTTATATTGGTTTCAGGTATACAGCATAGTGGTTAGACAGTTATATAATTTACAGATTGATTCTCTGATATTTCAAGTACCCACCTGGTACCACACATACTTAATACAGTATTACTGACTGCATTTCTTATGCTGTACTTGACACCCCGTGACTGTTTTGTAACTGCCAATTTGTACTTCTTAATCTCTTCACCTTTTTCTTGCCAATAGTAGCTTTTAATAACCAATAAATTTCATGGCATATATGTTAATCTAAGTATTTCTGTAGAAAAAAAATAAAAGTTTTGACTCGAGTTTTACAGATTTAACCATAATCCACACTTAAACAGTTTTAGCTGAGCCAAGACTGGGAAAGGAAGGGCTGAGTTGTCCAGTGTATACATATATGTAAATCACCTTACGCTCGGAACTTCCTGGTGTTCTTAGTGACAGTTGACCTGCCCCCAGTTGAATTCAGGTGGGTTGGAGTGTTAACTGTAAACTGTGAATATCCAAGATGACTAAGAATTTAGGTAACTTTTCTAATCTTTATGTGACAAGGGGCTTTATAGCCATATAACCAATGGAGGGCATCACAAAGGAGAAAGCAGGTGGTGGTGTAAAGTTTTGTCTACAGTTTCAATTCAAGTGGGAAGCCAAACAGAAAGATACTTTTCTGCTTCTCAGGCCGGCAAGCCTTAAACATATCTTTTGTCAGCAGTTCACATGTACTATTGCTGGTAGAAAGAAAACAATGGTACAGTATTTCTGTTGCTCCTGGTGGGTAGAGGCACCAAAACGAGATTTACAGGGCGAAACCGACTTGTGAAGTATGCTTAATGGTGCGCCGGCCACTTTCAGACTGCTGCTGTTCTTTCACCCTAGTGACAAGAAGCTGGTGGCAGAAGGCCCTGGGGAGACAGTCCTGGTCGCAGAAGAAGAAGCTGCTCGAGTGGCGCTCAGGAAACTGTACGGCTTCACAGAGAACAGGCGGCCTTGGGACTATTCCAGGCCCAGAGAGGTTTGCAGGGCAGAGGAGACCCTCACCGCCGGCTAGCTGCCGAAGCTGGGCTGGCCGAAGCTGGAGGAAGTGAAATTCATCTCCCGTCCAAGTGCTGCCCAGGCCCGACCCTGCTTAGCTCCTGAGATCAGATGAGATTGGGGGCGTTCAGGGTGGTGTGGCCGTAGATGGAACCTGGAATTTGTAAGCAGAACAGCGAGACAGGTGTCCCAGGTGTTCGGATTGTAGAATAATGCTTTACTTCTCATACCGAGTTCCTGAATTTAAACAAGTATTTATCGAGGCATGTGTTTTCTTTTCTTTTTTAATTTCTTTAAATCATTTTGGTCGTGTTGTCTTTTTTGATGTTTTCCCAATAAATTTTTACTAGGTTCTTGATTTTATTATTGTGTACAACTTGTACAATTTGGTGTATTTTATATCCTTCTAGCTTTGAGGTATCATAGTTTGAATGTATGTTTTGTGTGAACTTTGCTGCAATACCAGTAAAGTTATTCTTCTTTAATTGTTTAATAGTTTAATTTGATTTACCCAGGTGAATGAACTTTGCCTCTCTAATTTTAGCTAAAATAGTAATGTTATAATTTAACTTTTAGAAATGTAAGCTGTATACTGTAGCAATGAGGTATTTACACAATCTCTAGATTCCATCTAGGTTTAAAAATCTGTATACTAATTCATTTTCTTTTTTTCAAATATTTATTTTTAGACAGAGGGGAAGTGGGGGAGAAAGAGGGAGAGAAGCACCAATGTGTGGCTGCCTCTCATGTGCCCATGTGCTGGGGACCTGGCCCACAACCCAGGCATATGCCCTGACTGGGAATCGAACCAGCAACTTTTTGCTTCAAAGGCCGGCACTCAATTCACTGAGCCACACTGGCCAAGGCTAATTCATTTTCTAATCATTCACTTTCTATGAAATAAATAGCAGAAAAGATGTATTTTGTGTTTTTAAAGGAAAACACAAAGATCAAAAGCAGCTTAAAGTATTGAGGCCATCTAGTAAAAAAAATATTGATCAATTTAATATTCCATAACTAATTATAGCTACTGTGCACCAGGCACTATTCTAAAGTGTTTAACATTTAATTCAGTTGAGGACAAATCTGAAGTGTGTCCTTCCTGTTCTTTAATCCTTTGTGTTCAGTTCATTAATCCACCTGCAAATTCCCTTTGATTTAGTTCTTTTTAACGTTCTGGCAACAGTGACCATTTTTAGTTCCAGTCTACCAGTAGCCACTCCCAGGTGTTAACTGGAAAAATGAGAATTGGGAGTTGAGACTAGAAAAGGTAAAATGTGTAAACAGCACTTTTGCCATGAAATCTTGATAAAGGAAGATAAAGGACTTTTGAATCTTTTCTCAGGCTGGTTAGGAAAGTGCAACTTGTGAGAGTTTACAGATATCACCGCTAGCGCACAGACTTTGGGGAGTGGAAAGTTTGAGAGTTACATAGTTGGTTGAATTGGTAGATAAGTGTAAATTACTTCACCTTTTTGAGAGTCAATCATTGAATACGGGCAGAGGACCAAGCCACACTTTTGTGTGCTGTCCGCAAAAAGTAAACGTGAATTGGTAAGTAGCTCGTTGATGCCAGAGGAGAAAGATTACAGAGAGTTCCTGGGAAACAGAAGATGGGCAATGTCCTGCAGCCACGTACTCATCCAGTGTATGCAAAAGGTCAGGTTCCAGGTAGAATATCCACATTTTATTTTAGGTGAACATGTGTTTTCAAAGGTTCTTAAAGAAGTTAGTTGCAAACTCAGTCATCCTTCTTCCCCCTATAAGTAGTGCTGATAACGCAATCCCAAATTGCAGCACCTTATTAACCTCCAAGGGCAAGTACCCTCACCCTTAGATTTTCAAGCTTCCAAACCTTGAGTGCCTCTGACTGACACGGAACAAAGCTAGCTCCAATGCATAAAAGCTCTTGCAAGTAAAGAAATCCAAATTCCTTATGGAAAATGTGATATTTCTAAGTAAAATGTTTTTAGTACCTGAATTGAGTTGTAGTTTTCAAAAGCACCCAAGAACACATGGTAGGCTGGGATGTTGAAAACAAGTTGGCTCACTTTTGCAGTTCTGTATGACATACCTTGAAACTTGGAACCGGCCTGGACAACTATTTAACTTGCTCTAAGAGAATAAATGCTGCATAAGTTTTATGGGTGGGCAAGAGGGACATGTGGGTTACAAGGACATAAAGGGGTGCACAGCCAAGGAAATCCAGTGACCGTTTGGAAGACTGGGTTTTTGACTAATGTCTACCAGGGGTGTCCAACCTTTTGGTGTCTCTGGGCCACACATGAAATACATTGCGACATGTAACCACCACAACATTTCGTAATGGTTTAGGTTATGCACAGCCATCCTGGGCCTCATGCGGCCTGTGGGCTGCAGGTTGGACACCCCTGTTAGAAGACAGCTGTCACAACCACAGGAAGTTGGGGGGATATAAAAGTACTGATACTTGAACTGGGCATCAGAGAAAGACATGGGAGCCATTTACTTTGAGATTCTGACACCCTTTCTCACCTCTTCCCACTCCAGTTCCCTAAGCCCAACATGCTCATATAATGGCACCAAAAAAAGTTCCTTAGCCAAAAATGTAAGATTGACACCTACAGACTCAATACATAAGCCTTACTGTTTTTCAGTACATAGTGTTTTATTACATACATACGTATAATATGAAATATCACTCTCAAAGTGTTTTATGTGATCATGAGAAAGTCAACTATATTACTAAAAACTCAAACTCCCAAGAAGGAAGGGCTGTGTATTGTGCTCAGCATGTTATATTTTCTGGCCACAAGGTGGTGCTGTAGTTCCACTTCCCAGTTAAGGAGCGTGCAAAGTGCCATCATCAGGACACTGGCTTTTCCCTCCACACAGGAGAGATTATGTATGTACCCATAAGGCACATGATGACAGTGAAACATGACTTTTCCGGGCCCCTTACAGCTCTAGCATTATATGATTATGTGCGCAGAAGCTAGTGCACCTGTTCCTTCAGGTGTAAAGTGAAGAATTTCACGTATGGACGACTTACCTCTGACGCTGAGGTCTGGGTGTTCAGCTTTCCTATTTACCGGAAAGAGGGAAAATGGCAGAGCTTCCATAGGTAAAACTTTTAAGAGACTTTTTTGGGGCCACTTCCTATTTTTTTCTCCTACTTTTTTGATGATGGAAGAAAAGGCACTGACTGCAGAGGTAAGGATACCTCTGTGTCCATCTTCTCAGCTTGTCCACCTAGATGTGGCCATTTCTCGCACCCACGGTCCAGCTCACAACTCCCCCCAGCGCAGGGATGCCCACGGAGGGTGCCCAGCTGGCAGCATGCTGCCCGCGTCTGCATCCCTGAGCCCACTCTTTCCCCCTCAGCTGACCCCTGGGCTGTCTCTCCAAACCTCAGTTTGTAAAGCCCCCTACCCTTGTAGGCCCCCTGGGCCCTACAGCCTTGGGCCCCCCAACTTTGGTTTGCTCTCAGAGCACTTGAAAGCCGTGGTTCTCTCTAGAACACCAAGAGTGACTGTTAGACTGACTCCCATCTTGCAAACCAAGAATTCTGGGAAAATGTGTGCAATCGAAAATGATCATCACAAGCACGTATAATCCCGAGAAGAAAAGCAGGCTGTTTGGGGTTGCTGCTGTCCAGCTGTCCAATAACACTCACTCTTTCCCTGTGCCCAACAGCCTGTCGGTGCTCCCTGGCCTCAGAAGATGCAGACTTTCAGGGAAAAAAAAATCTCTGGGAGAAAGACAGTTGAGAAAATGAAAAACATTACACTATCCCCCCTCTTCGGTTAAGGAAGAGCTCCATGATTGGCTTATCCACAGAATGCCTTTTTACCACATCTGTCGTACATTACAATTGCAAAGCGAACTGATGATTTTGATCCCATTGCTTTTGCGGAAGAGGGAAGTCATGAGGTCGCTGACAGGTAGAGAAGGCTGTTTCCAGTCGGGGGAGGAGAGGTTTGCCTGGCTTTCTGATGACCCTTCCTCGACATAAGTTACAGATATTACCCCCTTCACAGCAAGAGCGCGCGTCAGAAAGGGCCAGGAGACACTCAGCAGTAGGCAGTGCAGTTAATGAGACAGATAGAGTCAGTGGCCAGCGGACCATCCTCAGATTAATGTGACAGTGGTGCCCGTAGGGTCCTGACCACTGGCCCCTGGGACTCACATCTTACTCCTGCGGCTGATTTTCTTGTCTAGGAAGGAGAAGTGCAGGGCCCGCCACCCTCCTCTCTCCCTTTGGTAGCTGGGATTATGAACTTCAGGCGGAGGAGGTGTACCTCCAAGAAATGTGAACATTCACTTCCATTCTGCCTTTCAATATTCATCTCCCTCTGCAGACACTCACGATGCACCTGGTGTCACTGTAGAACAGTGATTTCTCATTTAGCCAGTTTCTCCACATCTACGTCCTTTTTCTTGATTTGGGAGAAGGAATTCCCGAAGAAACGGAGCGTCAGAGCCAGTGGCGTCATCCACTCCTCGGCCGCCGGAAGTGGGCGCTCCCTAGGCCCCCGTGCTTTTCAGCACCCACGGGAGGGCGAGCATGTAGCAGCTGCTCAACGCGCTTCACATGCTCTATGGCTCCATCTGCAAAGGTGTCTGGGAGAATTCTGTTTAACTCTCTGTAGCCTCAGGCTTGGATCACTGCGCAGAACACTGGATGCCTCCCAGAGATACACATCATGCCACAGGAAGAAGGTTCATGAATGTGCAGAGTGTGCCAGCTGCCTGATGGTGTCTGCTAACTTAGGAGTGCATGGTTCTTTCTGGTGGGCGAAGTGACTACCCACCATGTAGTTTTACTATTAACCTCCTATAAAAGGGACCCTGGCCTGGGAGGGCTGAGCCCCCTGAGTTTCCAATGTCCCATCTCCCTCTGTCCAGCCATGGACAAAGTTCGACCTTGTCCTCAGCACGGCCAAGACAAAAGCCAGTGTGCAGAGTTTTTGCTTCCGATATTAAAGCTCAGTCCCTTGCGGTCCACAGGTAGCTGCTAAGTGGCCTCAGTCCCCATCCAGGCAGCTTACAGGTGGCTTAGCTTGTCTTCCCTGCTGCTCTGGTGGCAGAGTTCACTGGGCTGCTGGCCATGCAGCTGCTGAGGCCACATGGCTATGGAGGAGGACGTGAGTGCACAGGGCAAGTGCGGGTCACATGGGCGGGGGGGGGGCGGGGCAGGAAGAGAGAGAGGGACAGAGAATGAGAACAAGAGCTTCTTTGTTTTCCTGGGATTATACTAGTTTGGGCTTGGGGTGGACCAGCAGAACCAACCAATGTTTTCAAAAGAACCAATTAATTTCCCAAGCTTTTGCGGACTTTTGATAGGTGTACACCCCCTGGTGAGACTGACAGGCTTTTATGGT